CAGATTCAGTTCCCCACACCCACATGGCAGCTCCCAACTGTCTATAATTCCAATTCTAGGGGATCCAGCACCTCACACAGACCAATTGTTAAACTGTTAAAACACCAATTTACATAAAATAAAAATAAATTATTTAAGGGAAAAAATGGCCCTTGTATTAGTGATTGTAATAAGGTTGTTGTTCTTGGGGTCTAGTCAGGCTGTCAGCTTTTAATTCCTTCTCACTCTTCACTTTGTTCTAGAGTTGATCAGGCAAGGAATAAAGCTGGCTAAATGCAGCAACCTTAACTTACATGGAAGCTTTTACAGTCCCCAGCTTTCCAGAAATACGTTTGAATGCCTGCCCTCTGCCTGATGTCAGTATTGCTGTCTACATTATAAAAGCTAAGAGTATACTTTTTAGTGAAAGCATCTAATTTGTCTTCCTTTTACTCATGTGGCAGAGGGGCCTATGGAATGGAGATCAGTTCCCTCCTGCTTGGAGGCCAAGCCTCAGGCCCCACCTTGGAGCCAGCCCAAGCCCCAGTACTCCCTTGAGCCTCATGTGCTGCTGCCAAGCAGAGTCTGGAAGCTGAACTGCCACGTTCACACACAACTCCTTTACGTTCCTCAAACAGTTGTTATTAATTTAGAAGAGCCTGAGGTTTAAACATCAACCAACACTTTCCACGGAAATCACTTAGGTATACATTTTTCTCCTAAAAACTTGTCTTGCTGAAATTAGTAATTATCTGCAAAGTACACCAGTCCACCCCAGCTTTGGTGTCTGGATGTGCTCTCTGTTGGTGGCTGCACGCATAGATGCTGGCGGCCTTGGCTTTCCATGCCAGAAGTGGCTTACCCAGAAAGTAGTCTTCTCTTAAGGGTTGTAATACATCTTTGTCCCCATGAAACCTTATTTGATGGACCCAGACTGCTTTAATCCAGCCAGTCTCTACAGTCCTAGAAGGATCTGCCCCAAGTCCCAGCCCTAGCCTATGGTGACAGTGGCTCTCTGTCTGCCCCGGGAACAGCTGCACCTTACAGCCCTTGCTTGACTTAGGTATCACCTGGGAAGTATCTCTTCTTCGGGCACTGAGGGATACATGGAAGGACCTTTCAAAGGTAGTCTTGAGGCCTAAAATCTCATGATGAGGGCAACTTGGAGTTTGTTCTTCATCCTCTAACCCTATAGTCTCTTCTCACAAGAGCAGACAACAAGGCCACTGCTATGTACATCAGTTATATCTGTCTTTCATTCAAATACCTGGAAAACAAACTTTGTTGTCATGGTGAATATAAATGAGTATATCAGTTCTAATATGCTAGAGCCTCCTAGGTTTTGCTGTGGAAAACTAGCATGCAGACATGTCCAGAGCAGTCATACTATCTGAGGAAATCTGTGACATTCAACCCATTCCTGTTCTCTATAGACATTAACACTGCAACCAGGGAGCCTGATACCTCCACTATAGTATGGGCAGCTGGGTGGAGCCTGGCTCATATTAAGGATTCGAGCAGAAGCTTATCTGCGTGAGTTGTGAGGATGGACAGGTTGGTGCATCTGCTGAAGCAGGATAGCAACCAGTACCCACATGAGCCTCAACTCAAAAGGCTTTGCTGACACGGAATAAGTCTCCATTGTACAAAGCCTTTTAGACACTTGCTTGAGGGCTGTGGTGCTCATCCAAGTCCTGAGGCAAGGAGTCATCCCAAGTGGTAGGCAGGCGGAAATAGAATGAAATTGAAAATGAATCTGTACAGTGATATTGTGATATCTCAGGAAAGGGATAGCCATGAGCTCCTGGGGTGGCAAAAATAGGTAAGGACAAGAGTGGGCACCAGCAAATAGCACATAGAACACTTTCATCTCAGGCTTCAGAATGTTTCTCCTGGTTTTCAGGATGCTATTTCTTCTAGATGGATCAGACTGTAACCATTTATTTTCACATGCAGGAGAAGTATCCAGATAGTGTGTATCTCTCAGAGGGCACCTGTTCCCACTGCATGGAGATCCGCAGTGCCAGACAGCCAGGGTAAGTCTGTGCAGCAAGAGGTTCTGGGACCAGGACTGTCCATAAGAGAGGCTAAGAAATTACCTAAGGAAGACTAAAGAGTATCCCATGGATAAATAGGTGGAATCACAGCAGATACCAAACAGTGGGCAGATGGACTGCTGTGTAGCCATGAAGGGAGAGAGAAGGTAGGAAGGAGTGCAGGGCTGGAGGAGCTAAATGCTGGCCTTGGGCAGCAAGGGCCTTTGTATATGTATAGCCAAGAAGGTAGAGGGGTGTGTGTGTGTGTGTGTCTGCTGGTATGACAGAGGCAGAAGCAGGAAGCCAGAGGTCACCAGAGCCTCAGAGAAGCCAAAATAAACAGGTGCAGTTCTACACTGGGCACCTAAGACTCTTGGCAGCACTCGCCCACAGCCACTGTCACTCCTGCTTTCCTTCTTCTGCCTTTGTGCTTACAAATGTGCCTGTATGTTCTTCAGGACCTAGATCCTTACACAGGCTGCTGGAGCTGGTCTTTGTCATGGGGTTGTAGTTCACTTCTCATGCCTCATCCTCTAGTGTGGAGTTCTGACTGTATTCCTCGGGTCCTGAGGGTTTGGACTTTTCATTTGTTTCTCCTGCCATATGGCACATGGGTTGCTCCTAGAATAAGAAAATTCCAACCATGAAAAAAGCGTGTGCAGATTTCTAACCATTTCAGATCATTTTCCAGGAACGTCCTCTTGCCTGTCCCATTACTTATCACATTGGTGTTGGCCATGGTGTAGGTACAAAGTGTTGCTGTGGCCCAAGTTTCCAAATTGTCCCACAGAACTATCATATGCTTTCCTACACGGTTTCCTCTGTGGGGAGAAGTCTTTAGGAGAAGGTGATCCTGGCCAGCAGAAACCACATTTCAGAGGCTAATCTTTCCCAATTCCAAAAGCACCAAATACTGCCTTTTTCCAGGTTTGAACTGGTGATTGTTTGGAAGATACAAATAGATGAGGAAGGGAAGGTTTTTCCGAAGCTGGATCTTCTCACCAAAGTCCCAGAGCGAGGTAGGACTCCATGTTTACAGGCACCCTTTCCGGAAGACTTCTCAGTATACCCAACAAAGCCATCTGAGTGTCTTATCTGGGTTTTCATGGGAAGAATCAAAAGTTGAAACTGTCATTAATGTACTTTGTAGATCACCTTTTGAAATACTTCAATCAGTAACCACCAAACAAACAGCACATGAGAGGACTACTGTCCTGAGGCCTTGCAGACGTGTGGAGCAAGGCATTTTCTCTGCCTCAAAAGTTACTGGTGACAGTACTCTTTGGTCTTCTCCACCCTGTCTCTAGGGCATCCTACTGTGTGGCTATTGGGGGGAAAAGATCTTATTAGACAGGCACTATAAGGTTTCTTACCAGGTGTGTTTTCTTCACAGCCCTGGAGCTGGACAAGAACAAGATCATAGAAACTGCTCCTCTGAGTTTCCGAAGCCTACTAGGAGTACTTGGAATTGAAGCTGCTCTTGACAGTCTGATAAAGTTGCTTTGTGTAGAAAATGACTAGCTCCCTGCTAGCAAGCATGTAGGAATAAGATGCTCAGCTGAGGAACATGTGATCTATGCTACATATGAACATTTGCTCTTTTCCCAATGAGAAACCACATCCTTCAGACATGCTTTTGTGTGTTTTAGTGGTAAATTACACAGAACTCTCATAGCATAGAAATAAAGCTTTTCAGATATGTTAAAAGCAACATGCATAGTGCTTTGAACAAGTAAGTTTAACATTTGAGAAAATGCTCCAAAAATGGCTGTCCATTCTCAAACAAGTGTAGAATAGCTATGCCTCCAACCTCACATCAAGATGGCCCAAGGCAGCATGGGACACGGTCCAGTCCAAAGCCACCCACCTTGTCTGCATAACAACATCTCCCAGAAGTCCTAACACTCCTCCTGGTTCCTACAAAAGTAGAACTGTTTGACAGTGATGACTGCATTGTTCCTTTCACTGGGAACTTCACTGAAGACACACCCGCAGTCTGAGTGTGGTACAGGACTATAACACCAGCACACAACAGCAACCCAAATTTAAAGCCCACCCTGGCTACATAGTGAGCCACTGTCTCGGAAAACAAAGGCTAAAGTGTACCTCTATAGTAGAACAGTTGCCTAACATGGACAAGGCCCCAGCACCACAAAAGAAAGTTTGAGGCTGTATCATCTCAGACACAGAACTAACATTTGGTGAGTGCCTTCATTACCTGTTATGCTGCCAACATGACAGGTTAGTGTGGGCATCCTGAACTAAGCAGAGCACATCAGAACATGATTAGACAGGGCAATGGTGGCACATGCTTTTAACCTAAACAGATGCAAAAGAAAAAAGAAGGCAGAGTCGAAGAGCTGCCAGGAGCCGCTGGAGAAGCAAGATGTAAAGTAACAAGCCGCAAGTCTCATGGTAAAATATAAACTAATAGAAATTGGTAACTTAAGCCGGGCAGTGGTGAGGCACACCTTTAATCCCAGCACTCAGGAGGCAGAGGCAGGCGGATCTCTGTGAGTTCTATTGGAAGTCAGCCTGATCTACAAGAGCTAGTTCTAGGACCGCCTCTAAAACTACAGGGAGGGAGGGACGGAAGGACAGAAGGAAGGAAGAAGAGCTAGTTAATAATAAGCCTGTGATAACAAGCCAAACAGTTTATAATTAATATTAAGTAAGCCTCAGAGTGTGATGGAGGAAGGTCATTGGCTAATAAAAAAACTGCCTTGGCCCATCTGATAGGGCAGAATTTAGATAGGCAGAGTAAACAGAACAGAATGCTGGGAGGAAGAGGAAGTGAGCTCTGAGGCCATGCTCCCCTCTCCCGGGCAGACGCCATGAAGCAAGCTGCCAGGTCAGACATGCTGAATCTTTCCCGGTAAGACTGATGCTACACAGATTATTAGAGATGGGTTGATCGGGATATGAGAATTAGCCTGTAAGGGCTAGAGTTAATGGGCCAAGCAGTGTTTAAAAGAATACAGTTTGTGTGTTGTTATTTCTGGTGTAAAGCTAGCCGGGCGGGAGCTGGGCGGGACGAAAAGCAGGCCCGCAGCTCCCACTACAAGAGTGGTTATTAGGGAACTGGTAGACAGGAGAGACACTCCAGTTACAGATCTGTGAGTTCAAGGCCATCCTGGTCTACAAAGCAAGTTCTAGGACAGCTAGGACTGTTATACAAAGAAACCCTGTCTCAAAAAAAAATAAATAAATAAACGGGCAGTGGTGGCCCATGCCTTTAATCCCAGCACTCGGGAGGCAGAGGCAGGTGGATCTCTGTGAGTTCGAGGCCAGAAGAAAAGAAAAGAAAAAGAAGCAAGTAAAAAAGAACATGGTTAAGTTTTTACATCAGCAAGGTGCTCCTTCCATGTTCTTTATCCCCAGGAGAGGTTGTTTGTTTCTATCCACCTATCTTTAGCCTCTTGCTAAATAGTAATTCTCCAAGAGAGACTAGTGTTTCAGCAGTAAAAGTTTCGTGCCCTGAGAGCCTGGGACCCACCCTGAGATCAGTACTGAGGTTTCAGGCATAACACCTCCACCACACACATGCACACATACACATGGCTAGTCTACCTCCAAACCAGTCAACACTGCGTCAAAACAAAACTGAAGGCTGCTTTCCCCTGCACATCTAGAGTCATAAGAACATGACCTTCAAGCACATGACTCAAGTGAAGGCTATAAGCACATATCCCAGCATACAACCAGTCAAAAGAAAGCCAAGGATCCAAAAGTACAAGTGTCTTTACCTGAGTCTTCAATAGTTAGAATATTAGGACAGAATTTAATAAATTCTATAGGAGGTCGCTTGATCAAACAAGTATAATTCTCAAATTATCACAAAATTTCCCACAAAAATTTACAATCAGCAAAATATTTTCTTCATTTTTCACGTAGCATTTTCATACAGTTCCGTGGTTTTTACTACTATGTTACAATAAGCCTTCATTTGTCTCTCAAAAGGATGATATAAATAATCAGTCTGTACAGCCTACCATAGGATAAAAAAAATGAAGCCAAAACTCCCAATGATTTCATAGCAGCCAGGCACACTTTTGGTGACCCTAATAAGAATCCTCAGTGCCAGCCAGGAGCCTTCTATAGCCCTGATGAAAACAGCAAGGCCCTAGACCCACATACCCAACATGTCCCAGAGCTAACCCCAGGATGAATGTGGTTTAGGAGGAAGGGAACCTTGTTCTTCAACCACCCAAGACACCAGAGTGCCAGGAGAATCCAGGCTGTCAGGCACACCCACCCAGCCAACCACAGCAGCTCTGAGTTACAGCTCTGCTTCCAGCCTCTACAGCAGCAATTTCAGGTAGGAAAGAATGCCTCAGCTCCCCCTAGAGTTAAAATCATAATGAGGAATTTAAAAACAACAACAAAAAAGCAATGCTCATGTAAGTGGTGTCCATCCTGACCTGAGTCTTATGTTCCCTGCTGCTGCCCCTTTTCAAAGCCATGGCCTTCAGTACCTCCACAGGGACCTGAGTCTAAACCACTCAGAACCGATGTCCGCACTAACCCCTGACCGCTCTGCAGCAAGGAACTACCCAATGCCTGTGTTGATGTGTGATTTGCATTGAAAATGTAACCAGTTAACAGCTGGGAAAGTTCCAGTAGTATCCATGTTTTCTTGAAAATCCAAACGGTAAGATACTCGTGACAATTCAAGTTTTTTATGTCAAGAGTCTGGTGGTAGGAGATCCAAACCTTGGGTCTTAATAATAAGGCTTTTTGCATTAGAGAATTAGACGTGAGCTCTGCTTGGAAGAACTATCCAGGGTGTTTTCCTGGGTTTAACGGACACTTCCACTCTAAGAAAACAGATGGCTTGCTGGGACACAGCACTCACGTCCTACATTCCTTGTCCTAGAAGACTCTAGTGCTCTTCAATTCCTTGTCTCTGAGAGGCAGTCTAACCTCAGCAGGGGTTAAAAGCAAAAACATTCACAGCCAAGTCACCCAACACAACCAAAAATAGCTCTGTCATTCAACTTTCACATTCAAGTTTCAAAGACACCGCAGAGGAAAAAGTTAGACCTTGTGGAGAACTAATGTGCAATCTTCATGTTCCTTGAACCGAGTCGACCTCACAGTGTCATCTTTGGCATGCACAGTCTTTGAGTAATAGTTGACGATCTTGCTGTCCAGTTTATACTGGTGAGGAATGCTCTCATAGGGCTTGAGGTCGAGGTCCAGTACAGACACAGAGAAGGCCAACCGGGACCTTGATGAAGGGATAACAGGCCTCTGGTCAGAGCTGCAAGTAACAAGAGAATTTCAGATTACACAGACCCTCAGGCCCTCCCAGTCCAGCTTTCAGAGCACCCATTCTGTGTCTGTATGCATCTCCTGTCTGGGCAGCTTCAAACACTAGCGCAGGTAAGTAAGTGACTGCTAGGCCACAGGCCAGTACACTGTCTGGGAAGAAGGTTTAAAAGAACCGAAGGTGGAAAAGCCATTATGTGGAATGTGTGAGTGATATTCCCCATGTTCCAGTGGTATTAATGAATGCTGGAAAAGAAAAATCACTTTATTGTGAGCCAAGTATTACAAAACCTAAGAAAAAGTAAAGAGTAGATCAGGCTGTGCGACAGCCAGCTGGATGGCTGCTGAGAACAGACTCTCTTTATGTGCTTTCCCGTTGCTGCTGAGAACCAGTTCCTTCGTGCTTTTCACATTTGGAGAGCAAGCAGTTCTGTGTTAACTCTCAAGTCACATCTTCAATGCTTTTTTTTCCCCTCAGGGCTTTTGTGGATTTTATATACACCAGAAAGTCCTGACTTGAAAACCTTTTCAGAATAACTTTAAACCTGATACTGAGGTTGCAGTGGTATCCAACTGTTCTGAAAACACAGTACATAGCATTCATACTCCTGCCTGAATGGCATCTAATCCCAGGCTGGCACAAGAGAACTGTTGGAGAGTTCTGGTTCCTCCATGCTCACTACTCTTGTACACTTAGAGATCATTAAAAACAAGACATACAAAATAAGCTTCAAAAACTCCCAAGTTGGAAGAACAAACACTGACATACATGGGCCTGTTCTAAAGTACACTAAAGCCTTGATCCGCATTTGCTGCTCCAGAATCCTGTTTATAGGGAAAAAATTGAGTTTGGCTCGATCACAGGTCTGACAACTGACCACAAGCTCCAAAACAGTCAAGGACACAGGCCAGTGTACACTAGCCCCTTAATACTGAAAAGTCTGTCTCCTTCAGACTATATGGCAAAAACTCAGCAAAAGCCAGGGCACAGTCATCCCTACCCTACTGCCATGACCACATCCCTGTCCCTGTAGTAGCCCTAGAAACTGGTACTGGAATGATCTGGGGGCTGGAGCTGCTGTCTTCACCTTGATAGCTGTTCTCCAAGACACTAACCAGATTTGAGGGAGGCCGGGAGATACACAGTGAAGCCAAAGCGCATGTTTGTAATAGACTTGGCAGGGTTTAGGGATAAGTAGCAACGAGAACTTCCCTGATAGTTCTAAACTCTTCAAAAGCCTGGAGCAACAGGAAGGCAATAGAAACAAATAGCAAACATAGACGCTTATGGACTATACGTTAAAATTCAGGGATATAAATTCAGCCTTGGGTTTACTATGCATCTTAGGATGAACTCGGTCTCTGGTTTTCCTGAATGTTATTTCCTGGAGCTAGGTACAATTCTGGGGAGCACAGCACCACCTTCCTCAAAGAAGGCTCATGCCTGTGTATATTCTCCAAAGTAAAATTGGGGGTGGAGGACATCTAATCTCAAACTCTGCAGCTCCTTCCACAGGCAGACAAGCACAGCAGTAGGGTACCGTGGAGTGTCCTGTTGCCATCCCCCTAGCTCCTTTGCTCCTGCTTCAAAGTGGATCTGGACCACCAACTTTGAGCCTCCTGATGGGCCCTATTGTCTGGCCTTGAGACCTGACCTTAGCAGGTAAGGCAGCCTCCAAGGGCGGGGCCCATTCTTCCTCTTCAGAATCCTATGCAAAAACAAGTCAGAATTTCCCAGTCTGCCATCTCTCTTCAAATTCGTCACCAAATTCTCAATTTCCACAAAATAGGTATACGGAGGCATAATGCCAAATGGCAAAGCTTTTCAAACTTTCAAAAGCTCTAAACATTTCACATTTTAAAATTAAATAAGCTTGAATCAGTGTTCATGAAACACACTTAAGAATGGAAATGATTTTTTACCTAATTTTCTTTTTCCCTTTTTCATCGTGGACTTTAAACTGAATTCATTTTATCAGTGTATTTGTTGTGACATGAGATAAACTAACAAGCCTGACAATGGGCTCAAGATAAGATGCTAAGAGATCAAATATTAATACAAAATTATATCATCATAACCCAACCATATTATTTGTACAGTTTTTAAATTTTTTAAATCAAAATTATGCTGCAAGACATTTCCTAGCCTCTAAAGATTCTATATTTATTTTATGCACATTGGTGTTTTTGCCTTCGAATATGTCTGTGTGCGGGTGTTGGATTGCGTGGAACTGGAGTCACAGACAGTTGTGAGCTGCCATGTGGGTGCTGGGAATTAAACCCTGGTCCTCTGGAAGAACAGTCAGTGCTCTTAACCTCTGGGCCATCCCTCCAGCCCCCTATAAAGATTCTAGCAATGAGAATTTGAGAAGAAGTGTCAGAGACAAAGTTATGCTGGGTCACACACTGGGAAGGTGGGCAAGTCCGCATTAAGCATCCTTGATTGCTAACTCCTTGCCAGATTAAAAAGGCAAAAGTGAGAGGCTGATCAGATCGAGCATGTCTACTGTGGCCAACTATGTACCTCGGAGAGACTACTATTTCCTAGCCGTGATGGTATTTCTGTCTTGTCTTATTTTAAGCATAAAAGTGAGACAATCTTCCTGTCTCTGGAAAAGGGAGCAGATGCAGTACTTGGTGGCTGGTGATCCTGAGCCTCGAGCCATCTGGACACACAACCCTCTGCCCCCACAGCAAATGTTGATTTACTGAGCAGTTGGAGTCAGGGTGTGGAAAAGGAACCCAGCCTTCAGCTTTCCTCAAAGGAAACAATTGTGGACCACAGACACAGTGCTGGAGGGGATGAGTCACAAGTGTATCCTTCAGGTGCCCTGAACTTCCAGCCTCTTGACTTTGAATCAGCTTCCACCTGAGCACCCTGCACTCAACACCTTTCCCTTTCCCAGCTGCATCACTGGCCAGGCTTGGGAGCAGCTCTCCTCTAGCATAGATCCGTAGTCTACTGAAGGGTTCCTCAAAGCTAAGCTCGGGGTCTTTCTTAGGGACGACAGGAGCTTGTAACTAACCAGAGCCACTGCCTTCAGCCCTAACTATCCCTTCACATGCAACACCAGACAGTACAACTCTGTCTGTGCCTCCCAGAGAACCTTACTGGGAAACACAAAGCTCAGAAACATCAGAAAGATAATCACCTAACCCAGGAACACAGGTCAGATGTGGAGGATTCCAGAGAAGTCTGTAGGGTTTGGCATTCATGAAGATCAAGGCTGAAGATGCTACAAGACGAAGAGGCTCAGCATGAATCACTAAAAGCTAGGGGAGGTGACAACAACTAGCCAAACATTTGTGGGGAGAAAGATGGCAAACATGCTGGTTATTCAGAAGAGGAACAAGAATACACTGTTTGAGAGGTTAAAAATGGCAGTAACAGTTGTGAAAGTTAGTACGCTCTGCAATCTTTAAAAGGTTCAAGCACTTCAGCCTGAATGGAGCCTGGGCTTCCTCTGAAAGGAATTGGCCACATTATTTACACTCGGTTACTAGAGTTTTTTCTTATAAAACAATAATGAACATTCCAATTTAATAGAGATATTAATAAAAACATATAATAATCATTTTAAAGGAAAAGTCTTATTATCCATAAATGCCCGTAATTAAATCACAAGTTTCTAGAGAATAAGAGTTAATAAATAAGTTCCCATCCAGCTGGGCATGGTGGCGCACACCTGTAATCCCAGCATTCTGAAGGCAGAGGTAGAATCTTTGTGAGTTTAAGGCCAACCTGGTCCAGAAAGTGAGTTCCAGGACAGCCAGGGCTACACAGAGAAACCCTGTCTCAAAACATTCCCCCCCACACACACCCTTGCCACACACACATGCAAAAGCTCCCATCCTTCAGGGGAAAAAAAAAATGAAGCCCTTTGAGAACAACTCTAACAAAGATATAGTAGCCCCAAGCCAGGCTGTGGAGGCACATGTCTTTAGCCCCAGCTCTGGAGAGGCAGAGGCAGGTGGATCTCTGTGAGTTTGAGGCCAGTTTGGTCTACAAGAGCTAGTTCCAGGACTGTTACATAGCGATACTCGGTCTCAAAAAAAAAAAAGAGAGTAGCCCGATCAGGCAGGGTTTCTAAGTAAGGGAGTCTCTTTGTCATCATTGTTCCACAAAATCATTAGACCAAGGAAGATGTCATGCAATGGTTCCTCACCTTGTGCCCTGTAAATAAGGGGAGAGTGTGATCATGATGGAACAGTCCTTGGCGGTCATAGCTACCCGGTACTGCTGCACCTGTGGAGGAAAGAGAGGGTAGCTCCGAGTCACAAGGCCTGTCCACTAAACAGAGCAACTATTTTCTGTGATAAAGCCTGACGGTGAAGTTAGGCTGACACAGTGGGAAACAGTCCCCTTGACAATATACAATACACACACCAGCCTCCACTGTATCCTTTCACCTCTTACTGCATGTGGACCCCAACTGGATCCCTGAGACTTGTGACCTGCCATCAGTGAGTTAACCAGTCTATCTTTGGGGAAGGAGGGAAGGGGAAAGTTGCCTCAGCTTTTCCATATTTTGACTACACTTAGTATTCAGCAGTAATCACTGTACCTTCTAGAAGATACATGCAGTGTATTTGGGGGAAATGGTGATTATAGCCAATATTGGACACATTCTAGGGCTGTGAATCTATTAATTCTGCATCCTCAGCTTGCAGTGAGGTATCCCACTGTACAAAGAAAACCAAAGACAGAACTGCCAGGTGATGACGGGGCTGGACCAAGCACAGGTGCATGCTTCTGAACTAGCTCTTCCACAGAACAAGACAAGCAAATTCAGTTCTGCATTATAAACCTGCCCAGAAACCCCAGTACCAATACTACACATGTGAGGCACGTGGAGAGACCAAAGACAGAGTGTCCACCATGGTCACCTCTACAACACACAATTTGAGGCAGTTTTTAATCCCCTTTGTTCTTTGGACCTTGGTACATCTTTTGAGTATTTTAAATAGTTCCTGCTTTTACAGTTACATGAAAGGAACTGGCTTTACATATCATCACTGGCCCTAGCATCTGACCTGATGACAGAAAGTACGCTCTTTTCTCCCTCTCAACCATTTCCTCTGATTTTGCAGAAGCAGGAGGTGCTGCACTGGGAAGGCCTCAGGTTGCACTTCCCTGAGGCAGGGAGGGGAAGGGGCAGCATAATCCACACCAGGTCTGCTGGCTGTTCTGGACCTTAAGAACCTGGAAGCTAGAGACACCCAGCTCCCATCCGCACACCCTCCAGTTAGCAAAGAAATTTGTAATTTCATGATACATAGCAAGAAGCCCAGTCAAAAAGTATACTGGGTTACTGTGTATCACCTTGACACAAGCCATAGAGTCATCAAAGGAAGGAGCCTCAGCTGAGGAAATGTCCTGAGATGCAGCTGTAAAGCATTTTTTCATTTAGTGATCAGTTGGGGAGGACCCAATCCATGGTGGGTGGTACCATTCCTGGCTGGTGGTCCTGGGTTCTATAAGAAGGCAGGCTGAGCAAGCCATGGTAAGCAAGCCAATAAATAAGCAGTATCCGCCCATGGCCTCTCCATCAGCCCCTTCTCCAGGATCCTGCCCTGACTTCCTTCAGTGATGAACAGCAATGCTGAAATGGAAGTTAAAAAAAGGGGGGGGGGGGGGGAAGGGGCGTATTAACCCTTTTGTCCCCAGCTTGCTCTTTGGTCATGGTGTTTTGTTGCAGCAGTAGAAACCCTAATTAAGACAAAAAGGAAGAGTTCAATATAAAATGCCCTGAAGGCATAGCCAGTCTAAACGAGGTACAGAACAAAAAAGCCATATGAGACAGTCTGAAAACCTAAACAACTATCAAGAACTTTACATGATACAGGCCTAATCCAAATGCTAAGGATAACCAATCTGATGATCACAGGGAGAATGTGTAAGTCCTAGCCACTTTGGTGGTTTACACATACAGTCCCAGAATTTGGAGGAATCAGAAGGGTCAGGAACTCAAATCACGCTCTGCAACAACAGTGAATTTCAGGCCAGACTGGACTCCATATACATCTTTTATGTGTGTGGGTGCTTTGTCTGCATGTTGTACAGTGCCTGAGGAGGCCAAAAGAGCATTAGATTCCCAGGAAGTAAAGTTACAGATAGTTGTGAGCCACCATATGGGTACTGGGAGTTGAACCAGGGTCCTCTCTAAGAATAGCCAGTGTTCTTTAACTGCTGAGCCATCTCTCCAGCTTTGACATACAAATATTAAATATTTACATATTGTGTGTATGTGTGTCTATATATGAGAAGGTATTGTTGCCACAGATCAAAGAAATGAAATTATAACAGTGTTCTTCAGTGCAGAGGAGGGATGTGCACGTGTTTCTCAGACGCAAAACCAAGGAGTGAGACTTTCACTTAGAGTATTGTTCAAGTGGGTTATTGAGCCAATTCAGTGGTAATAGCCAACTAGAAAAACTGGATGGAGTATCAGAAATCTCTGCTTGGAGACACTGCTGACAAGACAGAGGCAACAGGCTTTGGGTTTGTTTTACAAAGGAAGGTCAACCTTCAAGCTGACAGGACAGGAACCACATAAGTCCTCTCTTAGTGTGCACACTGCTGCTCCATTCAGATTCACACCCTGAGCCCAAGCTGGCAGGCCTTCCCAGGAACTGCAGCCTTTCAGAAGGATCAGCCCCCAAACTGGGTCACAGTGACACCAGCCTGCCAGTCCTCTTGGCAGAGACACACCTATTATTCTCTTTGGAAAGACAATGTGAGGCAGCAAGTATTTCTAAAATAATTGCACAAATACAATTTCTGACACACAAGTAAAAATATGCACGCACAAGACAGAATAACATGAATAAAAGCCAGCAAAAAAGCCATGCGAGAACCTAAACTTCCCCCTCACTTTTTGCTAAGAAGTGGAAACTGCTCTAAAGAAATAACAACTATTTTGTTTTGTAAAAAGAGCTAAAAACTGAAAAACACAATAGCAGAACCGGATATACACAAAGGGACTCCAGCTGTTGAGGTACCAGACACACATGCTGCTCCACTCAAAGAATCAGACCAAACAACTGAGGAGAACTGGAAACAAAAATGAGCCGTTTAAATGTCTTAGCAAAACAACATTAAGCCTTTATCAGATTAACTAACAGGTGTGACTGAACAGGGCGGAGTAACTACAAGGGCAGTGAAACTGACCAGTTAGTAAGCTAGGGCCCCGTGGACAGGGGTGTGACGTATCCTCCATTGTGTTCCCTGCAGCAGCAACTCCCACAGTTTGTTTTCTGAGAAGTGTTAACACTAATTACCCACAAAGATAGGAACTGGACAAAGAAAGGTAACAACTTAGGGGCTAAGACCAAAGAAGAGAAGAAATGGAGAGGAGGAAAAAGCTACCAAGAATTGCTAAAATAGAAGAATCAAAGAAAATACCCAGAATGTAGCATGGAAAGGAACAGAGCCACACAATACAGAGCAGAAGGCTAACATGACACACAGAGAATTCATCCAGCACATGTGTGACTTCTAGAAGAGAGACACAAACAAATCTGTCAAAGTTAGGCCCTCTCTCAAATTTTAAGTCTAAGTAACAGAGTGTCAGGATTGATTTTTTTGCTTTTGTGTGTGTGTGTGTGTGTGTGTGTGTGTGTGTGTAGCTATATGAGTGTATGCGCACACGTGTGGAAGTGTTCTCAGTAAAAAAAAATGGCAACGGACCCACAAGAGCTGGAATTAGAGATGGTTGTGAGCATCCATTCATCCTGAAGTAGATGCTGGGAACTGAACCTAAGTATTCTCCAGGGAAAGCAAAGGCTATTCACACATCTCTCCAGCTCCTATATTTAGCAATATTTATTAATAATACAATAATAAAATAATAACTAATTAATACAATGTTAATCCATCTATCTAGCACCCAGAATATTTTTAAACAAAAAAAAATTATAGAGGCTGGCAAGATGGCCCAGTGGTTAAGTTTGGTTCTCAGCACCCACATTAGGGGGCTCACAACCACCTGGAACTCCAGTTCTAGGAGGTCCAACACCCTCTGGCCTCTGGGCACCTGCACACACATGGATGGTGTACGTGCTCATAAAATAATATTTTAAAAAACCATTTTTGTGTCTATTCAATGACAAAGAATATACAAAAAGATGGAAAAGGCATTATTAAGCACAAGAATCTAGAGAAGTGCCAGGCGGTGGTGGCGCACGCCATTAATCCCAGCACTTAGGATGCAGAGGCAGGCAGATCTCTGAGTTCAAGGCCATGCTAGTCTATAAAGTGAGTTCCAGGACAGCCAGGACTACAGAGAAAAACAGCCTCAAAAAAAAAAAAAATCTAGAATAGTTCTACTATGACAGAAAAAGGAAATTTGAAGGTAAAAAGTATATCCAAAGATAAAAAAGCCACTTGAAATGATAAATGACAATTGAAACATACTTAATTCTAATGCTGAGGGCACCTAAAACTATAGCCTCATACAGTGAAGAAGGAAATCCTAAATCCACCCATTCATGAATCACTGCAAAATAAGAACATGCACTGACACAATACAGCCAGGAACCTGAGGTGTAACTTGTTAAGTGAACCCCAAGGTTATTTTATCTTGCAAAAGAATCCTAAACCAAACTAAGGGCCTTACAGTTTATGGCTAGACTGAATCGAATGCTGTAACCTCAGTTTTTCTACAAACAGCTCTTGACTACACAGACGAGTCATGCAGTTGTTAAGTATGACATAGCACTGATAGGAAATGCATGTGCATCTTTGGGAAAGACTTTTCTACTTTTAATATAATTAAGCTATAACAGTTTCATGCTGTGGAAAGGATGAAAAGGTTCATTTTAAGAGATTATATAGTATGAGCTTTTATTGTGAAACATCTAACTTTACCAGTGTTTCAGCAAGTTTTCTTTTGGGGTGTTGGAGGGTGGCAATGGGGAGTATTGATTTAGGGGTTTTAACTCTGAAATTTGAAAACAGGGCAATTGTTGGCTATGGTACTTACTAGTTTTGTAGTAATGTTTTGCTAGCCTGACTTTCCTTACTGGTTTTACTGGTTTTTATGTTCGTGGTCCCTGGTGACTGTTAGTCTCCTTGTTTGGGCTGTGTGCAGAGTAGTGTCTCATTTGTGTGTAGGCAGTCAGAGTGTGCGTGTGTCCTTTGGCTACAGAAACACACTGTGTGACAATGGAATGGGGTGTGGCTGGGAGTGGGATGCCGAAGCTTTAAGAGCATTTGTTTTTATTTAGAACAGTATTCCTCATCTTTTGCCTGCAGGCAGGGAAAGTGTACAGTATTTTTGTTTCTGTTTTACCCTGAATTTGTAAGTCTTTAAATAGCTTATATTATTATTATAGGGGAAGACAAGTGACTTGCTTAAAGTTGTACTTAGAATTCTTACTTCCTAATTTGTGTATTATAAATATTGAAATTAAAATTGTATTACTTCTGTTTTGGAAAAAAAAACATGCAGCAAAGGCACAGCTCAATCACTGCTAGAGAAAACATCACAGGAACATAGAGCATGCACAGCATGACGCCATTTACGAGATGCTAAAAGCAGAACAAAGCACTGCACAGGAACACAGGTCAGACTCCAGCTAGAGAGACTGCATATGAGATCTTAGTTGAGACTGAGAAGCAATTCCAACAGGGGCTCTGGTTGGCTTCTGCTCACTGGGCTATACATTTTTTTTCTGAACATTCTTCTACATAAGTTATTTTTTCATAATCCAAACAGCTAATGAAATAAAGGCTCAAAAAGTTAAAATGAAAATGTTTAAATAATCTCTTGCTTTGCAACTATATGGCACTGAAACCTACCAAACATAAATTCATTTACAAAACATCTCACAGAGGTGCTTATGTGCAGGAGGTAAAAATAAAACAATGTCAATATCAACATATTTAAAAAAGAAAAACTTAATTAAATAGGATTACCGCCAGACAGTAGTGGTACGCACCTTTAATCCCAGCACTTGAGAAGCAGAGGCAGGTGGATCTCAATGAGGTCGATGCCAGCCTGGTCTACAAAGCAAATTCCAGGACAGCCAGGACTGTTACACAGAGAAACCTATCTCAAACAAAATAAAAAACAAAGGAAAAAAAAAAAGAATTACTTCCCTACCCCCCTTTCCTTCCTCAAACCTTTCCCACCTACCCCCACTCTCGGTCCGTTTTTAGTTGTTTGTGTATCTGTGATTTCAGAGCTGACCACTCTGTGTTGAACAACCAATAAGGGGCTAATTCTTCTTCTTCCAGCAGTCAATAGTTGTCTATAGTTCTTTGTCTAGTGAGGGACACTACAAACTTCCCCCTTCCACTTTAACGTGTCTATTGACATTGCCAGTGTTGCAGTGTTTTTTTTTATGCAGCTATTTCTAGAAGAGACTGTTTCATGGGAGACTGCCTCATACTCTGGCTCTTAAGATCTTTCTGCCAGTTTCCCAGGGACAGTGAGGTCACAGAACGAGAAAAGAATCTACTGTTACCACTTTGCTAGTTGAGCGTACTTCATTACTACATTCTAAATCTTATCTTTATACCCACTGATGACTGTAGCTACCCACCCCCATCAAAGAAGTCTTCTTTAAAGCAAATGGAGACCACCGTGCTCGCTTCGGCAGCACATATACTAAAACTGGAACGATACAGAGAAGATTAGCATGGCCCCTGCGCAAGGATGACATGTAAATTGGTGAGGTGTTCCATATTTTTACAAAACATACAAAACAAAGAATGAATATTAAGAGCAAGAAAAAGGTCAAGTAACATATAAAGAAAAACCTATCGGAAACCATTACACTACTCACCCACTTCACCCCCAAAAAAGACGAAGTAGGAGGCACACCTGTAATCTCAGCTACGCAGATGGCAGCAGGAAGATTCCAAGTTTGAAGCTAGCCCAAACAACACACAAGATATTGCCATTTGGACCAAGCAACTCCACTCTTAGGCATACACGGCAGAAAAAATATACAGCCGCATAAAAGCTTGTGCACAAATATTTACAACAGCGCTGATTGTAAAAGTGGTCACAACTGAGATGTCCATCAACTGATGGGCAGGTGTCTAAATTACAGTATGTCCACTGTAATGGAATCTGAGCCATGAAAGAAAATGAGGTGAAATCTGAAAGTTATCTATGTCAAAGCTGTGCACAAAGGCTCACACAATGACTGTCTCGTTTATATGCAGCACTCAAGAGAAAGAATGCAGTTGCTCAGGACTGCAGGGGCAGAGAGAGACAGCTAAGGGTGTGTTTTAAGTGATGTGGTTGTGAGTAAAGGACAGGGCATGAAATTGCTGCTAAAGAAAAACAGGACAAAGAGGACTGATCTGAGTGGGAGAGAAAGTAAGGCAATAAGGGCCTAACACACAAATGAATCTGACAAGCATGTCTAAAACAATACTTGAAACTGGGACTTTGAAAAATGTCTTCTCTAGAGCTAGCTGGTAGAGTGCTTGCCTAGCATGCTGCCTACCACACCCAAAGAAAACCTGAAATAAACAAATACCAAATGATAAGTACACACACACTGGGAAAAACTAAAATTAAAGTACCCCAAGTCCTGTATCATGTGCCAACGGGGGCCACAAACAATTGAGCAGCTTTACACTTTAAATATGTAGGGTGAACTGGACACGTTACCATGGAAAGAATCCAAACAGGTAACTTCCAAACCATGGAGTGAAGACGAACTAAAGAAGCTACTAAGTAATGGAACACACAAGTCAGCACACTGATGGGGAGCCTCACCCCACCACTTCCCCACACCTGCCTCTGAGACAGTTTTCCCGAGATACAGTCCCTCTCGTTTGTATCCTGTTGATGGATGTTCCTGAATTACAAGAGCAGTGCTAAGTGGCTGCCAAGAGACAAGAGGGCCCCCTAACCTGAAACATTGGAAGCTGGCCTTCCTGGAAAGTCTACTTACTACACCTCCAGGCAGTGCTCAAAATGTTAGAAGTCCAGCCTGGTCTACAAGAGCGAGTTCCAGGACAGGCTCCAAAGCTACAGAGAAACCCTGTCTCGAAAAGCCAAAAAAAAAAAAAGAAGAAGAAGTCCAAAAGCCCAGTGTCCTGAGATGACAGTCTAACCTAGTATAGCATGTGCTGAAAACACGGGTTGTCACAGTTCTTCTGTACATAAGTCCTCATCCTCATTTCTCTGGGACAAGTATCTATGAGGGCATGTGATGATACATTTGACATGAAAACCTATCAGCAGCCCGTCTCAGAGCCAGTGCCCAACACCAGCACATTGTGTGTTCCCAATGGATTTCTTTCAGCCAGTTCTAGGTAGCTGTGTAGACTACGTTTACTTGGGTTTTCTGCCTCCTTCCAGGTACTCACAGCTGGATGTGGCAGCCTCCAATTGCTGCACCGTGACCCAGAGCTTTCCCTTTGGAGTTCCCCAGCTTAAGAAAGTTTCAGCCTGCACCTCAACCTCTTTATAAGACCTTCTCAATCCCTCTCTCAAGCCTCAAACACAGCATAGTTGTAAGGCTCTCAAAAGTGGGGGCTGGGGCCACCACACACTGGAGCCTGCCTCTGAAGAGAAGAACAGAGCCTCCCTCTCCATCAGCTGCCCCAGCCCATCTGAAAAAACGCTGCAGTCACTCTGCTTTAAATCTCTGAATTCTAGGCAGGGCGGTGGTGGCACACGCCTTTAATCCCAGCACTCAGGAGGCAAAGCCAGGCAGATCTCTGTGAGTTCGAGACCAGCCTGGTCTACAGAGCGAGTTCCAGGACAACCAAGCCTACACTGAGAAACCCTGTCTCGAAAAACCAAAAATAAATAAATCTGAGTTCTGGGCTGTCACTGTTGTGGAGGGGAGGGGTATTAACACCTCAGGAATGCAGTGCTTCTCAATTAGTCTACTCACCTTCCTTAATGCAAAGGCCACTGTCCCATCATCTTCAGTAGACAGATCAAGCAGCTTCTGGTAAAATACTTCATCATAAGGCCCATCTATCTGTAATGTTTTCCTGAAGGAAAAGCACCAAGACCAAATAAAGAGGATGACGAAGCTCCTGGAGACTTTCATTCACTAATGCATTCTGTATCACACGGCCAATCTAACAATTACATGCTTTGTTTCAGAGGCAGCTAAGAGACCTTGCTTGTTCTCATTAAGCCTGATTCTATACCATCAAGATCTTCAACAACCCCCACGGTTCAGGGGAGCCAGGCTTAGCCCTCAGCTGTTCACACACCCTTAGGCAAAAGCCAGTGAGGTACAAAGAGAACTGCCCATCAGACACTGCAGGTGTGAACTTGGGGACCACAATGCAGGCCCAGGGACCTAGATGTGATAGTCAGAGAAGCTCAGGATCTACAAAGGCAATGGGCTAACTGGAGCAACCTGTGGGACAACACTGCCCTCTGCAGGCCAGGCCCTGACATACGAATTTTGGAATGGTCACATTTTTAAGTTCTTTATTTCTGTTAAGTGTCTTAGTAATGAACCACTAATCTCATATGGACCCTGGCACACACACATCCCAAAGGGGACTTCCTCAGCAGAGAGTTGGTTGTAGGGGTCTTCTGGAGCCAGGTTCTGTCTGGGAGGTTTGTTTTGTTCTGGAGTTCAGGCAACCTTAACCAGCCTAGCCTCATAGCTTCCTCTGGCACCAGCCTCACCTCTCCTCAGGAAACTCCTCCAGGTAGCGCTCAACCCGGTTGTATAGAGGGTAGAGGCCTTCGATGTCCATCTGGTCCAACATCTGTACCTGGAGGGTTTTGTATAGAAGACAGCCCTTCGGTAACCCCGAGTGCTCTGGGGTGTTTTTTCCTACCAAGAACATCAAGGGAGAACGAGAGCAGGTTCATTATCAAAACTTGAAGACTGTGGAGGGAGACCCAGGCCTCAGACAGCAGAGTTCACCCTGGGCTTTACAGACATAGCCGGGGCCCCAGCCTAGCACTGAGGGCAGACACTGCATTCCTTATAAAACTACAAAGATGACTGAGCACTGACTACCGTTTGCACCTAGTGGCTCTACACACAAAACAGATGGAGACTATGCCTCTCCCCTTGGGCCTGTGCTGTCCAAACACTGACCCAGAATATCCTTTAACTCTATCCATGCTCTAGAAGTCACTTTATATCTACATGAACTTCAGCATCCTCACCCCTTCAAGACCAACTAGGACCCTGTTTCCAAAGTCAAAACCCATTCATTAAGCTCACATATCAAGAGGGTCAGGGTCTGCCTGCCACAATATGAATTAAACGTGCAAAGTAATGGACAGTGGTCAAGACCATTAGCAAGGTCCTGTCCTCACTGGGACAGATGAGAAAACAAAGCTCCATCCTTCACTCATGCTCTCTCACAATGACGTGTACAGTATCACCTTAGCTGAGGTCTCTTAGAGCCAACTAAAGGAAAAGACGAGGGAGGGAACATGTCTATTCAGACACTCCAGCAACATGCTCTCAGTCACACATCAGATGCCCTGTGTCAAGACAGCAGGATGTCCATGCAGTGAATGTCTACCCCAATCATGGTAGCTAAAAGATAAAAAACTACGTGTGCTGACAGATTCATGCTATTTAAAAAAAACACTGGGTTACAAGAAAACATGAGTGTTATTTCATTGTTTCAAATACTGCTTACCCATGAGTTAGGTCTGTTTGCACATTAGTGTCAGAAAGGTCTGTGAAAGAAGACTCTGGTGTCACCAGATCACTTAGGTGCCAGCAACTATCTGTGTCCTTCCAGACACATTCTGGAGCCAGGGACCCTGAAAGCCTGTCCTCACTCCACAGTGTTCAGCCCAGTCACAAAGGATTCCTGGTCTCAGTTCTTGTCCGACAAGCAGACCAAGGAGTCTGCATCCAAAGTCAGGATGATGGTCAGAGGGGAAACGTACAGTGGAGCACGGACTCACTGCAGCACACACACAGGATACAGGCAGTACTAGTGGGAACTATACAGCCCAAGTATGTCAAGCAGCTTAAAAACCCAGATAAAGGTGAAAAGCAAGTCTCAACTCTCTGTGAGTCAGCTAAGCCTCATTCTGTGGAACCATTACAGAACTAGACAGCACCTCCAAAAGTGCCACAAAGCCAAGCAAGGACACAGAAGTCACATTGCAGGTGCCACTCTGGCTACTTATGGGGAGGAATAGTCTAAGTGTACCTGTAGACCCACATCCCACTGGAGAAGGCCCAGCCCTACCTTGGTGATGTAGGCTCCTGCTGAAAGGGCTGGCTTCACAGACACGTGGGCCCTGGAGCCCATGCCTCAGGGCACCTGCTCGGCCTTTGTCTGAGCTGCTCAGCAGTACCCTCGTGATAACACGCACCAGCTCCCGGATCACGGCCCTCGTGCAGTGAGGCCCACTGGCCAAGCCATTGGAAGGGAAGAAGAAGGGCTTCAAGTGGTGCGCAAGCTCCTTCAAGTCAGCCGCAGGGCTCCGGGCATCACCACAACCATAAATCAGCTCGCCATTCTTCAGGCAGGAAAAAGAAGAAAGGGAGATGAATCACACAAGCTGACAAAAACCAGCAGGGCAGAGCACAAACAGAGGACCCCAGTGTTTTTAGACGAGGTAGTCAGGGTTGCTGTACACTAGCTCCTCTGAAGAATCCTACTCTCCATGCTGTATCACTAAGCATGAGTCAGAGAAAGAAAGGTTCAGAAACTTCAGGCCAGCACCCTGGACTGACACCATCAGACAATGATCTCACAGCATGTCTGAGCAAATACTGAGCACAAAGCCACAGATGTCCACAAATCCCCAGTTACTTGAGGGCCCAAGCAGTGTCTAGGGGTCAGATCAGGCCCCACAGACCCCAGAGTCGGTGATAAGAGAAGTGACCAGATCCCTGACATAGAAATGTTCCTGCTTTAAAACTGTCGACCTTCTTCATAGAACCACACAGCATTCAGACTGAGCACTCAAGCAAGGACACATGCTGACACTGGGTTATGACAAGACCTGAGCTAGGGACAACACCAGAAGCATCTCAAGGCTCTCTGAATACATGCTTTCATAGTTAAGCCACATGGTGGGTCCTCTAACACCCTCCAGTCCAAGCAGACACAACATCACAGCACCTTTAAGGCTCTTACCAAAGATACCAGAGTTTCCCCAGAACTACGGCACAAAATGGAAATGCCTTCAAAGAGCAACAGCTAAGACACTGAGGCAACGAGTGGGTGTGTGAAGCTAGGGTCTCAGGAGAGCAGTAATAGTCAAGAGAGTAGGTTGACCCTGGGAGGTATGGCTATCTTCTCCCCATTAGATCCTGGGGTGCCTCTCCAGATACTCCTATCTAGGTGCTGTCCAAGGGACAAACTAAGGCACCGCTCACCATGCTAGGCAGGAAGAAGAGGGTGACCACAGTGGAGCTGAGTTAGTCAACTGACATCCAAGGTAGGGTCATTTGTGCTCATGATGAAGCTGGCCCCTCCTCCAGGCCCAAAAGTGGTCAGGGAGTCCTCACAGCGACACCTTACCCCAGCATCAAGGGTCTAGATTTGAGGGTCATTGTAAATGTGAAATCCAGAGATAGAGTTTACACATACAAATATGGCCGTTCAAAGATTTCATAGGACATCTGGCATAGTCACAACCTAGGTAGCATAGAGATTCTATAACAAGGTCCACACTCTTTGAATCCTACACTGTCTCTAAGCACAAATGTCCAGATGGGATCACTGACCACAGCCAGGCAGCTTCTCCAAGCCTGAACCTTCAGAGCTTCAGGAATGTTCTGCTTTGCTGGTTTGCAGAATTTCAGGGAGCAGCGAATGCACAGCATCAGACAGAGAAGCCCGAGAGCTGCCAGGGCTCACCATGCTGAACTCACGGCCGGCACTGCTGCCTACTGCTTTAGAGAACACAACAGAGCCAGCTAGATGGCTCAGTAGATAAGGGTGCTTACCACTAAGCTTAATGACTTCAGTTTAAAGCCAAGGACCCACATGATGGAAAGATAGAACTGCAAATTGTCCTGTGACCCCCCACACACACACACACAAAGTAAAAGAGATCAGATTGTTTATAATTCTTAATTTTAAGCCAGGCCTTTAATTTTACACCTTTAGTCATAGCACTTTGGAGGCAGAGACAGGTGGATCTCTGAATTTGAGGCCAGCCTGATCTACAGAGGGTGTTCCAGAACAGCAAGAGCTACACAGAGAAACCTTGTCTCAGAAAATAAGACCAAAAAAAAAAAAAAAAAAAGTTTTTACATTGTTTTTAAAAAGCCATCACCGGGCGGTGGTGACACACACCTTTAATCCCAGCACTTGGGAGGCAGAGGCAGGCGGATCTCTGTGAGTTCGAGGCCAGACTGATCCACAAGAGCTAGTTCCTGGACAGGCTCCAAAGCTACAGAGAAACCCTGTCTCAAAAAAACAAAAAAAAAAATAAATAAATAAATAAATAAAAAAGCCATCACATATCAATTTCCTTAAGCCACCTCTTGGGGAAGGGCTGGCTAATCTCTGGATTCTTCCAAGCTGATTTTTACAGAAGCAACAGACCAGATACCTCAAATGTGGCCTGACAGATTCAGATATGAGCTTCAAAGTTAAAGGGATTTATCTCCCTCCAGGATTTAAATACCAGGCTCCTAATCTCTTTTAGTTTTTCCAGACAGGGTTTCTCTGTACAGCCCTGGCTGTCCTGGAACTAGCTTTGTTGACCAGCCTGGCCCTGAACTCACAGAAATCTGCATGTTTCTGCCTCCTGAGTTCTGGGATTAAAGGCACGCACCACGCCTGGCAAAGTAAAAAAAAAAAAAAAAAAAAAAATAGGGGAGAGAAGTCACTCAGTGTCAACCTTAATCTGATTCCCAGATCCCACTGTGGAAAGAGAACTGAATCTAAGGACTATCCTGTCTCATACAAGCAGCACAGCATACATGTGCATACCACAGATCACACATGGTCTTTTTTTTTTTAATATTTATTTATTTATTATGTATACAGCATTCCTTCCATGTATGTCTGCAGGCAGAAGAGGGCACCAGACCCCATTACAGATGGTTGTGAGCCACCATATGGTTGCTGGGAATTGAACTCAGGACCTTTGGAAGAACAGTCAGTGCTCTTAACCTCTGAGCCATCTCTCCAGCCCACACATGGTCTTTTTTAAGAATAAAATTAATGCTGGTGGGAATGCAAGCTACCAGCCACACAGCCAAGACAGGACAGTACTTCCAGTTCACTAGTCATTTTCCCAGACCAAGCAAAACACGGGCTTTGGAAAGTCCATTCTCTGTCCTGCTCCCTCACACAGCTCCACGCTGCCTCAAGTCCAACTTGCTGTCCAATGAGACCATAGCAAAGGGGACTCTAGAGATGCATTCCCAGCATGGCCACAGCCACCACCTCCTGCCAAGGCTAGCTCTGCCTGTCCCCTCCCTCCTTCAGGCATGCCTCCTCCCCCTGCAAGGTCAAGGCATGGAGAGCTGGTCTGAGGCAAACCAGCTTGGACACCCCGACATATCAGGTCACAGAACCTGTGGCCAGGATCATAGTGTGGTAGGTTTGCCAGGAATCCACCATGGAATGGAAACAGCTCTTACCTTAAATATCCTCAGATTGTTCTGCGCCTCCTGCAGCAGACTCTTCAAGGCAAAGTGCATGCGCTGCTTGTTTCTGGAAGGACAAAGCATTAAGGATTTAAAGGCAGTGGGCTGGCCTGCTCGCCACACATATTCATAGACGCGATTCCAAACTGAGCTGGGACCTAGAGCTCCCAGTAACTGTGGCCTTGGGCACATGAGGGGAGTTTGGTCTCGGGCCCAAAGTCAGTCATGAGGGATCCCGCAGTTGCAGGGAACCAGAGGCCAAGGTACATCAATCACTCAGAGTCCATCTAGCTCCATCTCGTCCTTCTAGATCCTCAGCTGCAGCTTGCAGAGGCTAGAGCACGTGCTCAGGCATCGTGATCAGATGCCATGACAGACCTCTGGAAAGGGCAGGAAGTCTAAAAAAGACAGGAACATGGGACCTCTCACCCTCCCTCCACTTGGGGGACTGTGGGACTGGCTCCCTCCTGCCCTCTGCCCTACTTAAAAGCAACTGGCACCTGTTGTCGCTTCCTCGTTGCCACTCATGCTCCAGACCATACCCCGGTCCTCCATCAGTCTCCCTGAACACAGCCCCTTTCTCACCCCCACATGAAATCTACAGGGCTCCCAGAGAGGCAAACCCACCCCAAACAAGGATTCCAAACCACGTCCTGAGGTCACACTGCAGACAGGGCGTCAGCACTAGCACCCACAGCCAGCTCTGAAAAGGCTGCATTATAAACATTCCAAGGACAGCTCCTGACTCAGGTTTGATAAGTTATAAATTCTCAATAATGCTCTGTCTTACTGTTCGCTTCATAATATCCAGCCTTGGGGGCACAGGTAAATCAATCACAACTCTCCCTTACTGCACTGCCAAACTGATTTAGTTCTCACAGGAAAAACAGCAACACTTTGTTTTCTGAAATGAGCAAGGAGTCCTTTAGACAGAGCAAAGCCACACCCAGCTCAAAGAATACCTTCCATTCCCCACTTCACTGAACCCCACACATTTACCACTGCACAGAACCTGCATGTATACTCCAACCTCACCAACATTCCCACTTTACAGAACATACCCCACTCCCAACACTTCAGATAATACTACAACCAGCTTACAGAATACAACCCAGTCTCCCCACAATACAAAATACCTGTCCTCACCTCACCTCACCACCCCCAGGTCCTCCCTCATAGAAGATGCCCACTATCCCCACTTTACAGAACATGCCTCTAATCCCCACCCCCTCTTTCTCACATACTGTCATGAACACTTCACAAAGTAACCCTCAAAACCCCTACCTCTTAGGCTGTCCCTTAGCAGGCACCACCCAACCAAAACAGCAAATGAGAAGTGACTCTTACCCTGAGTAGAGGTCAAGGGGACAGTATTTACTTATTTTCTTCCACTTTCCAGTTGCTACCTGAAAAACACCAAGATAACATAGCAAACGCTTTCTCTGTGACTACCAATAAAGCTCACAAAACAGCATAATCTAAGATGGGCTGCGGCATTGATCTGGGAGAGGTCCCAGGTGTACATCCCTATGTAGAAGCCCACTTGACCCCTCACCCTAGGAAACTCCTGCTACCCCTCGGCCTCAGTCACTGCCAGTTCAGCACGCATGCGAAGGTCTGGTGACACGAACAGCAAGTCTTTAAACTGTTAGCAGCAAGGGAAAGGACACTACACATGCAATCTTACGTTACCAGAAGAATGGTAACTTGGCACAGCCTTTTGTGGTAACTACCAAAACTTAAAATGTGTACAATTCCAAATTAGTAAACCTAAATCTAAAATAACTACACAGAGCAAAGAGGCAACAGGTATGTGGGCACAACATTTGCTGCAGGTATTAAGATATTTACTGCAGGAGGAAAGAATACAGTAAAGGAATGAATGAGTGTACGGATGCAGCCACTCAAAAGATGGACTAAAACATCACCAATTCAACTGGCAGAATAATACCTATAATGTGATGTCATGTTTGCTTTAAAAGTATAGTTACTTAAGCAAACACATCTTGAGAAAAACTTTACAACACGAAATCCTGAAAAATTATTTAATATGGAGGGAGCACTGGGCAGAAGTGCAAATAACACAATCCTATTGTATCTTTTTTTTTTAAATAAGATTTATTTATTTAGTATGTATACAGTGTTCTGCCTGTATGCCAGAAGAGGGCACTAGATCTCAATATAGATGGTTGTGAGCCACAATGTGGTTGCTAGGAATTGAACTCAGGACCTCTGAAAGAGCAGCCAGTGCGCTTAACCTCTAAGCCATTTCTCCAGCCTGATCCTATTGTATCTTATGTCTGCATGCTCCACCAACAAACATGGAAAGAGGCACCACTGCTTGTCTGTGTCTGTATTGATACTCTAGAACAGTCTGGAAAGACAACCAAACTAATACCATGAATCACCAGAGAAGGGAAGTATCCAACTATCAGTTATGAGTGAGCATTATTTCATAATTTTAAAATATATACATCTTAAACAACCTATCACATAAGATGGACATGGTTTTTACATGTAAAAACTAGCAAAATTTGCCAGAATGATAAATTCTGAAACCTCAGAAAATGTCTAAAGTTCTTTAAGAATCCGGGGAACTCAAGAAAAACAACTCAAGAAGTGGAGAGAAGGCTCAGTGTTTAGCAACACTGGTTGCTCTTGCAAAGAACTCGGGTTCCATTCCCAGCATACACATGGTCGCTTACAACTGTTATTCCAGTTCCAAGGCTCTGAAACTCCCTTTCTCACCTCTATGGCAACAGTCATGGAGTACATACACAGATGCAAGCAAAACACTGTTCATAAAAATAAAAGTCTATCTTCTGAAAAAGAAAAAAAATCAACTAAATCTAAATAAATAAGAACAGGGAGCATGACACTTTTTAATCTCACTGTGTAACCCTGTGGAACTCTCTATGGAGACCAGGCTAGGCTCAAACTCACAGAAATCTGTCTACCTCTGCATCTCAAATGCCAAGATTAAAGGTGTGCAACACCATGCCAAGTTTCTTTTTGACATTTTAAATGCCCTATTCTCATCCCTCTGTCTATTTTAGTTAGGGTTCCTCTCACTACGATTAAAAAGACCTTGACCAGCTTGGGCGGCGGTGGTGGTACACGACCCAGGACAGACTAAAAGGAAAGCTACAAGAAACTCTGGGGGTGGGGGTGGGGGCTAAACTGACTTAGGGACAATGGGGTTATTTCATCTTATACATCCAGGTCTATCATTGAGGGAAGTCAGGGCAAGGGGCAAGAACTCAATTGAAGCAGAAGCCATGGAGGAGTGCTGTCCATGGTTTACTCAACCTGCTTATAAAACCCAGGACCACCCATCCAGAGGTGACACTGGTCCTTGCAGGATAGCAATGCCTGCTATGGAATGGGACCTCCCACATCAATCATTAATCAAGAAAATGTCCCACAGGCTAAGCTGGTAGGAACGCTTTCACAATGGAGGTTCTCTCTTCCTAAATGACTCTAGTCTGTCAAGTTGACAAAAAAACTAGCCAGCACCCTATCTCTACCACAAGGGAAACACACATGAGCCTGTTGCATGCAAAGTGCAGAACGGCAGCCTGGCAATCTCCATGGAGAACACAAAACAGGGCAGGCACATCCACAGCCTCAGCCCTGAGGACTGCCATTAACTGCCCTGTCTCTCAGTTCCAGGAAGGCTGGACTTGCATGGTTGTCTTTACTGACCTGACTGAGAGCCCACCCACGGCACACATATTTTCTGGAGCATTTGTCAAGAAAATCTAAAGGCTACCGTTTACCTTCATGACTTCCTTACACAGTGGGTAACCGTGGGGCAAGCAAGTATAAACTAAAACTCAAAAGAAAAGCTGGGGAATGAGGATGCGCACAGAAGCTTTGGAAGCTCCATCTAACACATCCCTGTAATCTAGAAAACCACCAACGGGCCATGGAGAGAACAGAGAAGGCCCTAAGCTCTCTCTTGAGTTTTTCTATCCCCGTTTTAATTAGTGCCCCCCGTTCTCATTTTAATTGTTTGAATAGGCAGGTGCTATACATTTTTTCCCACTCCCCTTTCCTTCTTCCCCTACTCCTCACCCCCTACACTCCCAATTTACTCAGGAGGTTTTATCCTTTTTCTTTCTCCTTCCTAGGTGGATACATGTATGTTTCTCTTAGGTTCTCGAGCTTATCTGAGACTCCATGAGGAGAAAGGTAACCCAAAACTGTCCACGACCCTATTGAGCTTGAGCACTTGTACACACACACACACCCTCAGCAAAGACTTAAGAGATGCACTGTTTGAAAAACTACCAATCCCAGTAAACAGCCAATCAAGTAGAGAGTTCAGGGACCACAAGTGACCAAGGATTCATATGGGAATTTATGGGGCTGGCAAGATGGTTCAGGGGGTGAAAGAACTTGCAGAGCAAGCCTTGAAGGCCTGGGTTCCAATTCCAGAACCCAAAGTGTAAAGAGAGAAGAACTGTCCTTTGACCTCCACATATGTGCCTTAACATGAGCATGCCCACACGCATGCACATCTCTCTCACATACACAATTAATAATAATAATAAAATTTTTTAAACTTATATAGACATCACAGAAGAAGCAGAGCAGTCACTAAACGGTAACAAAGGTAGAGGCAGGAGAAGAAAGAGTTTGAATCTGGGTCACATGAGACCGTACCTCAAAAAAATTAAAATGGGACTGGCAAGATGTTCAGTGCGACGCCAGGAGGTAGTGACACATGCCTTTAATCCCAGCACTCGGGAGGCAAAGGCAGGCAAACCTCTGAGTTCGAGGCCAGCCAGGTCTACAGAACGAGTTCCAAGACAGGCTCCCTAGCTACAAAAAACCTTGTCTTAAAAAACCAAATAAAATGGGGGTTAAAAAGATGGCTCAGTAGGTAAAAAGCCACATAACCTGAGTTCAGTCACAGAACCCAAGCTAAAATGCTTTATGTACAGCACACATGTAATTCTGGCACCCCCGAGGCACTGTGCAGCACACATGTAATCTCACTCTTGCAGCTAGACGGGAGGCACAGACACAAGACTCCTGGAAGCTTGCAATCCAACTTAACCCGAATAAGCATCATGGCAGAAACAACAAGAGAGGACCCTGCCTCAACAGGGCAGAGAACTGACTCCTGACAGTGGTCCTTTGACTTCCTCACTCAGGTTGTGTACACATACACACCATACGCATACACACCATATACATACACACATACACACATATTAAAACAGTAATAATTAAAAGGGGTTGGAGATAGGAGCAATATAAGGGAGGGTGAGGGTAGTATGATCAGAATATATTAAATATTCCTATATGAAATCATCAAAGGACAAAAAAATTTTTGAGACAGGGTTTTTTTTTTTTTTGTGTAGTCTTAGCTGCCCTGGAACTCACTCTGTAGACTAGACTGGCCTCAAACTCACCAAGATCCCCCTGCCTCTGCCTCTGCCTCCTGAGTACTGGAATTAAAGGTGTGCGCCACCACTGCCTGGCTCAAAGATCAAATTTTTAAAGATTTTTTTTTTTCCTTTGAAAAAAAATTTTATGTGTATGGGTATTTTGCCTGTGTGTCTGCACACCTCATACACGTATCTACACATAGATACAAACACACATATCATTTAAAATAATAAATATGTAGTTGAAAAGAATAACTTAATGGAGACTAACTAGAGGGTTCAGTAGCTCTACTTAGTGAACAGAGAGAGAAGCTGTGACTGTTAAAAGTTCAGGACACCCACACCTACACCCACCAGGACTGTCAAAGCCAAGGACTAGGATAGGAATTAGGTGTTGTACAAGCTCACACTCCCAGGAGGCAGAGATCCTCAGCTACCTATTGATTCAAGGCCAATCTGAGCTACAAAAGACTTTGTCTTTAAAAACCATGAGAGGGAAAAGAGGATAAAGGAGAGAGGGGAAGAAAGAAGAAACAGGAAATAATCTCGTAACATTCAATTGGTAATTTAAAAAAATCTTCCAACATAAAAAACTACAGTCACCACCAGGTGGCAGTAGTGTGCACATTTAGTCCCAGCTCTCAGTAGGCAGAGGCAGGCTGATCTCTGAGTTCGAGGCCAGCCTGGTCTACAGAGTGAGTTCTGGGACAGCCAGGGCTACACAGAGAAACTCTGTAGTAAGCAAAGTCCTGGCATGAAGACAGACAAATACACCAAAAGTAAAACAGAGAGGAGCCCGTTGCCTACAGGCCCAACATCTTCGAGAAGATTACCAGGACCAATACTTAGAGGAAAGAACAGTCACAGGCACTGAGAAAACCAGATGCCTATCTAATGAAACTGGACACTTACCCAAAACCTTACACAAAACAAACTCAAAATGGCTGAGATCTAAAATCAAGAATGAAAATTCTAGAAGAAAACAGGGGGAAGATTCCCACCACTGGACTTGACAGTGACTGCTTGGCTACAACATCGACCCAACAAAAGAAAAAAAGAGATTAACTGAACTTAAACTTAATTCAGCACATTTAGGCATAAAAGGGCACTACCCACCAAGAAAAACAGAGAAGCACCTGCTAATCGCGTCTCTCTAAGGCACTGACAAGCTGAGTACACAGAGCACTGTAACTCAGGCATAACAAACTTGAAGTGGGAAAAAAAGCGTCAAGGAAAATAAAAGCTGCAGGAAAATGGATGGGAATGGAAACCATTATGTGAGGTTCAGGCTCAGAAAGCCAGCCAGTCCAGCTCTGTCCCACACTGACCCTCTCTAATCTCTATCCCTGCATACTTATGTGTGAATATGCTTAAAGGGCAAGAACAGAGTCATGGGAGGGGACAAGATGGGGCCTCAAGGGAGAAGGGGGAGGAGAGTAACCACACAGTGAGGACCAGGGCTGTAGCTCAGGGAGTAGGGTGCTTACCTAGCTTGCATGGAACTCACTACTTAATTGTCAGCCAGCATGGCATTAACAGTTTGATCCTTAGATCTCACACAGTGGAAGGAGAGAACCAACTACAAGTGTCCTCTGACCTCCACACACACAAAAAAAATTATAAACAAAAAGATCAAAACTCTTTTTTTTTTTTTTTCGAGACAGGGTTTCTCTGTGGTTTTGGAGCCTGTCCTGGAACTAGCTCTTGTAGACCAGGCTGGCCTCAAACTCACAGAGATCTATTTGCCTCTGTCTCCCAAGTGCTGGGATTTCAAGGCGTGCGCCACCACCACCCAGCAAGATCAAAACTCTTAAAGAATAATAAAGTAAATGTTAGCTACTCATGAAATGAAAAGAGGGTTATCAACAATTACTTTCCATCTTCTAGAAATCCCAGTGGCTTCCCTCAGGCCCAGATGCCCTATACTCCGCCCTCCCACACCTGACTCAGTTCTCACCTTGAGGTGCTGGTGCATGCAGTATCGGCACACCTTGTGTTTCATCTCGTGGGTAACATCATTTGAGAAAGGAATAAACCCACATTTTGGCTGTAAAATAAGAGAAGAAACATTTAGTAGAAATCACATACTTAACACACACACACACACACACACTAACTAGGAGCTAGAGAAGAACAAGAACAAGATCAGGTAGAAATGTCCCCAGAAACTGTTGTCAACTTTCGCTACAGTCTACACCCCTCTGCTCCAGAGGGCAAAAGGGCAGCTCTCTCACTGGGAGGACTGGTGGAGCTCTGCCTGGCTGACAGGAGTATAACACAGAGCAGCTTTGTACTCTCACTGGCAGGCTGGAAGAGTGGAGATGGGCCGAGGCTTCTCAGCTCCAAGAAGCAGAACCATTGTTCCCACTGTCACTATGTAGGGCCTGCAAGACGCCCATCTGATAGTTGCTAGGCTTCCAGGACATCAGGAATCCCAGCTGCCTTCTAAACTCTGCATGCTGTCAGTACATACAACCTGAGCCTACTGTTCTGGAGAGTGCAGCTAAGAGACAAAACACCCAGCCCCCAAGGATAACAAGTACTTGGGCCAAGGCATGCCTCAGGGTCATCACCTCTCCAAGAGAAGGAAGAGAAGTAATAGTTTTGTGGGGTGGGGGAAGCCTTCTAGGGTACTTGGCCAACTACTCAGATTTAGGTCTTCAGTATAAGAAACAGGAAGCACATAGCCAAGACTGTGAGGTTTTAAGGTACACCCTGTACAGAGGGGATCCAGTGCAGGTGTGTGCTTGTAGGTTCCCTCATTGTTAATACCAGGGAAGTATGAAAAAAAAAAAAAACAAGTGAGGAGCTAGAGAGATGGCTCAGAGGTTAAGAGCACTGACTGCTCTTCCAGAGGTCCTGAGTTCAATTCCCAGCAACCACATGGTGGTTCACAACCACCTATAATGAGATCTGGTGTCCTCTTCTAGCCTACAGGCAGGATACTGTATAAATAAATCAATCTTTAAAAATAAATAAAAGAAACAAGTTGAGCTCCTGAGAAAGGCTGAACACACACTCAAGACAGAGCCAAGGAGACTCAGGGAGGCTCATCACCTGAGAGCCACCTTTCCCTTCACCTGTAGTGTCATGCCACCATGAATGAAAACCCACCTTAATCTCTACACACAGAATCGGCCGGTGCTCCACAAAGTGGTAGGTCTGAAGTCTAGTTAAATTGGGAAGGCACATAGCATAACCACTGAGTGTGTCCAGGTCCTTGTCACAACGAGACTCTGGAAGACAGAACATGAGATAAGAGACAGACAGCCCTATAATACAAGAGTCCTGTGGGGGGAGGTTCCCAAGACAGGATAGCCTCAGGCAGCAACAGGGAAGTGGGAAAGCTACCATGACACATGATCAGGCCATACACTGCCAGCCCTTTAGGAAGGTCAGCCCTCTCAAACTCTAACCCTAGACACGGAGACCTCCAGAGCTGCCTAGAGGCAATGCTCAGTGAGTGCTGTCACAGTCACTGTAGGAGAGGATGTCTGGACTCTCCAGGACCCCAACTCCACCTTTTTAATTGGCAGATCTCACCCTTACTCCCCCCCCATGGTATAAATCATAACCCTTCTAGTCAATTTTTAACCCTGAACATGACCTTGGGGAGCTTTAAAGCGTGCAACAGAAATCAGAAGTGAGAAGAGTCTTGGATGGTCCCTAATTCTGCCACTCTCTCTGCCCAGGAACAAGGAGAAGTATACTACAGCCCCTTCCTCCTTTCAATTTTTATTGTTTTTCCTAATTCTTGTTGTTCCCATGTCACCTCAACATAGCTCTGCTGGAATCGGGCTCTCTGCACTGGGGACCAGTGTTCCCTTCTGAAGAGCAGACTTAATCCACCAGCCCATTAAAAAGCAGCAGGGGCTCTTGTCACTGTGGAGTGTCACACCTCCACTGTGTATAAAGTGAAATGGGGTGCTGAGCAGCAGCAGATGAGTAGAACCCTGAAGCTGGCCCCTGTCCATCCTGGTGGACATGAACACCAGAGCCCAGTGCGATCCAGCACCCTCCACTTCCTGCTTCTGCCCCAGACATACTCCAGGGCACTATTTCATTTTCTGAATCAAATCAGGAAGGACTTTATTGTGGATGATTCTATAGCATTATTTTTGGTGGTAGCTATGAAGACATTTTCACAACCAATACATGGACTTTACATGTTTGATCAGTGACCATGAAAGAAAAGGCTTTATTCTGGTTCTTGCCAGCAAAGCCCACCAGCACGCACAAGAAATGGGACTTGGGGGTGGCGACTAAGCCTTTGGCCACAAAAACTGCAGCAAAATGTCTGTACCTAACCTGGTACAGGTTAAGGTTTAAAAGCCTTTTAAAATTACAAATGAGCCAACCATGGTGGAATATGCCTTTAATCACAGCACTTGAGAAACAAAGGCAGGCGGATCTCTGTGAGTTCAAGGCCAGTCTGCCTTGTCTATATAGTGAGTTCCAGGGCAGTCAGGGCTACAAAAAGAGACCTGTCTCCTCCCCACAAAAAACTGAACACTGTCTGACACCTTACCTGGTCTTTCACACTGTATTTTTAAGCATAGTTGTTTCACAAACTCTAAAGGCAGCTGAACAACTTCCTGTAAGAAAACACACAAAATATACAGATTGTACAATGTCCTGAAGACTGTTAATGCCTCAGAACTATGCACAGTTAAACACAGTTAAAACAGTGAATTTCGCAGTATGTGTATTTTACACTCCAAATACTATAGTTTAAAAAATTCAATGTGCCAATTTGGTAGTAAGAGACAATCTATAATTTTTCAACACATATAGAGGTTAAACAGAGGCAAAAACATTTCCATTTCCTAAAGGCAGCTGGCCCTCCTCACAGCCAGCCAGGACCCATGACACCGGTGATCAGCCACACCAAGTACCTCCCGTCACACACAGCCCCTCCCGGTCCCTCAGCGTCTGTAGACACAGAATAAGGACTTCAAGAAACCCTGGCCAGACGGCCAGCAAGCTGTACCTGCTGAGTGACAACACGGGGCTCATGGGGCTAGTGATCTCCCTCAGCTGTTTATTTGTAAATTTGCATCAATTTAAACCATGTTCCTCACTGTCATCCCTGCCTGTGTTCTGAGGGTGGCAGAATTGTGACTTCAAAAAAACTCCCAAGTAACAAAGGAAAAAAAGTGCCTAGGACAAAACTGCTGGGATCTTGCCTCAGGAAAACCCACTGGCCTTCTTTATCCAGACTCAACCAAAGACTCCCACTCATGTCATGAGTGGAGGTCGCACATTCGTTTCCCAGCTGCCCAGACACAAAATAATCACACAGAAACTGTATTATTACAACACTGCTTGGCCTATGAGATCACGATTCTTACTGGCTAGCTCCTATATCTTAAATTAACCCATTTCTATTCTATTGCCACATAGTTATGGCCTACAGGTACGGTTCTGTCCATCTGTCTGTCTCCTGCAGCGGCTACATGGCTTCTCCCTGACTCTGCCTACTCTATATATCTTTTCCAGTCTGGCTATATTCTGTGAAGCCATTGGCCAAAAGCAATGAAACATATTAACAGCATACAGAGGGGAATCCCACATCACACTCAGATAAGCACAGCAGGGCTGGAAGAGCATAGTTCCCAGAAGATGGTGCCTCTGATAACCTTTCTCCCAGAAGACATGAGGAGGTACAAGCACTATTCAACGGACATATCCTGTGGGTTCTTCTAAGAGGTCACACCTGACCTCCAAATATCCCCAAAACTAGACACTGGAGAGGACAGGCCACAATGTCAGTGGCCAAGGAAACGCAGAACAGAGGCGACTTTCCAAGTCTGGAGCTCAGAAGACAGGACAGGTCAGACAGGCAGACCAGGGGATTTCCCCTGTCTAGTCCCTCCTTACCACAGGCCAGGTGCAAAGACAGTTAACCCAAAACACAAAGCAACGTTAAGGGTTTTCAAAGCTTTTCTTCTAAGGCCCTAACTGAGCAGCATCCATAGTAACTCACACCCATGCTCACATCACAAAGCTCTTCCAGGAGGAGCCTCCAGGAATGGGCCCACATTGTTCCTTAACCCACAGGAACTCAGGGCAAAGCCCCCTTCAGGTTCAAGGATAACATAACAAAATCTCACTGGAGAACTTCACTATGCAAGAGCCTCTGGCCCAGCTGGTGAGAAAAGCTTGAAGATTCTTAGTGCTAACATTGAGATGTCAGTACTGTTGGGCAGAACTGGATAGAAATTGAAATGTGAATAAACAGCACTTACCCCACAATGAACATAGTTCTCCCCCAAAAAGTCTTTCATGACATTTTTGCCAAAGTCCACTATGTTCTGCAGATGCTGAAGTATCTCTTCTGAGGTCTGGAAGAGACAAGCACAGGATAGCTTCAGGATGGACCTCCAGACAAGGCTCCTAATACCACCCTCTTCCAGGAGTCCAGCTCAGGACAGAATAAGCAGCCACCCCATGTATACTCTAAGTACTGTGCACCCCACAAACCTCTGGAGAACTCACCACCCATACCCAACAATGTATGTCTCACAAAGTATGTGGAGATATCCCACAGCTCCTACGACTGGGTCTTGTCAGAACAGCCTGACAGGAAAACCCAGCACACACCCCAGGGCCTGTGCAACAATGTCACAGCTCCTGATAAAATCCATCTGGGGAACAGAAGGGTGACCATGTGACAGACACCCCACCAGAAGACACTGTCCAGGAAGGCCAAGGTGGGATGAACACACACTACAGCCATTGTACAAAAACAGGCATGACAGAAGAGGCTGAAGCCACCCCAAGACACATATGACAGAAACAGAACACCTTGGGTCATTCTCTTCAGCAGCTGAGGTAGGAGTCACAGGATGTTTGGGTCCCACATTATTTCCTCTGCCCGGTCAACCCACCTTTGACTCTCATCCCTGCCCCAGTTAAAGGCGACATTCCTGCATGCTCCTAGGAGAACAAGCCTTGAGGGCCTCTATCATCTCTATCACCAATGTCCCATAGCTCCCATGACCTTTGCCCTCACATCCTGACACACTGTCTCCCAGACACTCTAATGAGACACTGAATCATCAATCCTGTCCATCCACCAGACACAACCCCCTCAAAGAGTTCTTCCTTCCCCCACTAAGGAGCTCAAAGGCCAGGTGAGGCTTATGTAGTTCACAGGCAGCTGGTCATGTAAAAAGCAAGACAGGCCAAGTGTCTTAGCCTCCCTCAGTGTATGCTGGAACAACAGGAACAGAGTAGAAGCTGTGGCCACAGGAGCTTCCGATACTCAGTATCTACCTGAGCTTTACCAGGAAGCGGCAGTAGCTCAACTTGGGTAGACAGGGTGACAGGCAAGCCTTCATGGAGGGTACACTCGCTGTGCTAGGATGATTCAGCCAACACAACCTGACCTGCCCACTGTGATTTTAGCATAACAGATTGTCTACCCAGTGTGACACACTATTTTCTTACACACAATTCCACTGAGGCAACTAAGGAACTCATCAAGATCAAGTTGAAACCTGGTCCTGGGATCCTCTGAGCAGGGCCCACAGGCTACACCAGAGCTCATGCAGACAGATCTACCATAGAGTGACACAGAGGGCCTGTTAGGTCTCACACATCAAGAATGAGGGCCCACTACTTCTCACACTGAATGATTATATCATACTTAAATTTCTACAATTAGCATTAACATTTCTGTACTGGAGGGCTTAGGATATAGGATACACCCTAGAGTAAGGACACTTTCCTGTCCTAGGCAAAGTTCCAGATTTAGTCCTTAACATCAAACACACACGCATGCGCGTGTGCGCACACACACACACACACGCACATGCACCACACATGTGCTTGCCCACCTACTTCCACAGACCCACCCCCCAGGAAAACATCCAGGTCTTCTTAAGCAGATGCTATGACAACTGTGGCCAGCCCACCAATCTTACCTTCTTCTTATTTGGAGGAAACTTCAGAAAACGCAGAACTACACAGCGCTGTTGGAAAATAAAACAAAGCAGGATCAGTAATGGCCCAACACTCAGGTGTAAAGGTGAGCTGTTGTGGAGAAGGGGCCAAGAGCAGCATAAAGGAACCCAGCTGGGGTCACTTTCAGAAAGCTTGCACCACAAGGCAGCCAGCAAAATCTTTGGCCTTTGACCCAGCCCACTCGCTGCTAGATATTATTTATCTTAAGGAATAAGGAAGCTCAAAAATAATTATCCAGGGGCCAGCGAGATGGTTCAGAGGTAAAGAGCACTGGCTGTTCTTCCAGTAGTACTGGATTTGAGTCCCAGCACTCACTAGGCAGCTCCTAACCAGCACATGGTGCACAGATATAACAGAAAACACCATTGGGTGGGGGACTCACTGGGGTAATATATGACTAGGTACAAGTGCAAAGACCCTCAGAGGGCACTGAAATCCTAGAACTGGCAATTTGCAAGCTGCCCAAATTTGAGTGCTGGCAGCTGAACTCAGGTCCTCTGGAGAAGGAGCAGTACATGTTCTTAACTTGTAGGCCATGGGCCATTTCTCCAGTCCTCTTGCCTTTTTTTTTTTTTTTTTTTTTTTTTGGAAATAGCCTGGGCAGGCCTTAAATTCATCATCATCTTGCTCCTACCTCCCAAGCACTGAGATCACAGATGTGTGCCACAATTGAGCCCAAGTCAATTTTACATCTTTATAGCAAGATCCTGTTTTTTTAAAAAAAAAAAAAAAAAGCAAAAGTTTTTGTTTTCAAAGCACAAACTGCTAAATGAAGTATGCACATGATCTCTTTGAATGAGAAAATGAAGAACACTCATGACAAGCTCCATAACATTTCCAAGTTGTAACTACCACAGTTTTGGTTTTTGGATTTTTTGTTTTTGAAACTGTCTCACTTCAGAACACAGTATGTAACCCAGACTGATCTCATGGTATTTCTCCTGTCTCAGCCTCCCAAAGTTGAGGACTGAGTTCCCAGCCAGCCTGAACTGCATAACAAGAGCCTATTTCAAATACACACAAACACACATACACACACATACACACACACACACACACACACACACACACACCTCGAGCTGGGTGTGATGACATACACATGTGATCCTAGCAGCAGGAAGGCTAATCAGGAAAGACTTCAATGACTTTCAAGCTGACACAGGTTACATACAGCATGAAACCCATCTGAAAATGGCTTTTAAAATGGGGTTGGAAAGATAGTTCAGAAGTTAAGAGTGCATACTGGTCTTGATAAGGACCCAGGTTTAATTCCAGCACCCACATGGCAGCTAACAACCATCTGTAACTACAGCTCCAGGAAATCTAACACCCTATTCGGGCTTCTGAAGGCCTCAGGCATGTACATGGCACAAAGACATACTCACAAGCAAAACACCCCCTCATGTACACACACAAAGAATATAAGTCTCTAAAAAATTTTTTTGTAAAAGCGGTATTTGCGGTTACCTAAGAAGCAACAAAGGTCCTGTGGAGATCCCCACCCCTGCACACCACTCCTCCTCCCAGCCCTCCAGTCCATCTTGTTTAAATATTTTTGAATAAATTGTTTTAATTAAGATATAATATTAGTTTATAAATTAAAATATAATTTCTCCCTTTCCTCCCTCCAGCTCCTCTCATAAAATCTTCCCTTCCTTCTCAATATCACTGAGAAGGCCTCAACAACTCAAAGGTTTTTTTAAAGGGTCTAGGCCTTGCTATATTGCCCAGGTTAGCCTTGTACTCCTAGGCTCAAGTGATCCTCCTGCCTCAGCCATCCAAGTAGCTGGTACTATGTGAGAACTACAGGCAAGCATCGCCAAGCACAACCTTGCCAACCCCTCCTACTGAATTCCCAATGCCAACCAATGCATGCAGTGGATACACTTGCTAATCAACTGTAGATCTGGATGCTTATCTTGGCCTGCAGAGCTGAAACCCAAAGCACACAAGCTAGAATTGCTCCCTCCTCATGTTCAAAGCAGGCATCACCAATTAAGCTTGGGAATCACTGGGTTAATGATCACTTTAATAGAAGTAAAATTCCATCTAAATTTAAAAAAAGAAAGTAGATCTGCAGGAAAGATAATTATAATCAGCTTCTACAAACTCTCTTCTACAAGTTGATTTTCTCCTTTCCTGTGTTCAATAGTGCTGTTCTGCTCAAACCCTGTCTGATTATAGTCCCTCCAGTAATTAAGACAATGTATGTCAACGACAGGATGAGTTTGTTTCCCATGGAAAGCCTGATCATGCTTGAACATCAACACAGGACACCCTGATACCCTATAATCGGTAAGGACAGAGCCCCACTGCCCTGCCCTACACGTGTGGGAAACCTCACTCTGTACCACATAGGGAGCCCTGACAAGCTAAGTTGATTTTCTCAGAGCTCTACTGCAACCAGAGGAAAACGGTCTTTCTCTACTTCCCAGGGAACTAATAAGCCTCACAACAGAATTTTGTAGCCAGGCAGGCCCAGGAAGGGTGGTGCTAGGCAAGTCACTCAAGCCTTTCTATCACAGGAACTCCCCACTGTAACCTCAGACAAACCAGTTCAGGGGGCCTATGCACACAAATGCCAACAACAGAAACTGATTGACTCCACACATAGCAGCATCTTATTATAGGGATATTGTATTTATGTTTTAATAAATAAAGCTTGTCTGAAGATCAGAAGGTAAAACTAAGCCACTAGAGCCCAGGCAGTGGTGTCACACACCTTTAATCCCAGGATTTGGGAGAAAAAGGCAGGTGGATCTCTATAAATTCAAGGCCACAAGGTCAATGCAGGAACAGATCAGGTGGTGGCGGCCTATACCTTTAATCTTAGTACTAGGAGTCACATGCCTTTAATTCCAGCACTAGAGGGGAATATAAGACTGGAGAAGACAGGCTCAGGGCTCAGTCTGCAGTTGCTCAGTCAGCCTTGGTAAAGGTAAGACTTCTCTAGTGGCTTGACTGTTTTGCTTTTCAGATCTTCAGTTTGAACCTCAATGTCTGTCTCTGGGTTTTTATTATTCATGCTACATCTTATTATTAATATTAACTCAAATTTCCAAGGTTCCTGCCCCTGTGTTTCTGATAAACACAAGAGAGCTGGCCTATTTACAATTGGAAACTATACATTTCCTCAGCATTATTAACACACACAAAAAAAATGAGTACCAACATAAATTAATTCGGAAAGCAAGTCTCTGACCTACCAAGAGAAAACAGTTAACGTATCCGGGTAAGGTAGCTTATACCTTTACACCTACAGTCCCAGTACTTGAAGCTGAGACAGAAGGACGGCAGCCTGGTCCACAGAGCAAGTCCTAGGCCAGTCAGGGCTATTTAATGAGACCATTTGGGAGGGGGGAAGAAGTTCCTAGGAAGAAATATTGTTGGTTCCTCTCTGACAACATAAATAGCATCACTGTTCCCCCAGCACCAGTGACATCAGCATTCTCACTGCTGCACACAGCACATGCAGAGCACCAGAGTGTATGTACTCCCCACCACCTCTCCCCTTGAGGTGGGGCACATGCATCCCAAAGTATAAAATGTGGAAAGCCAGGCCTGAAGGGAAGCCCAGGCATTAAGGTTTTGACCCTTAAGGTCAAGGTCATGTACAATGGAACAGAGTTTGGAGGCACACCTGAATCCTGCACATCACATTTCCAGTTGTCCAGCTCCATATGGCTGCTGAGTTGTCAACTAAGGGGCCTAGGCAGCAAAGCCCATAGTGGCCCACTGGTTCTCCATTACTAAGCCATCCCTCCACAGGTGTCCTTGACCATCACATCCATGTACAGCAGCTTAACCTCTCTATCAACTACAGGAAGTTTCTCTCCCTTCCCATCAGGTAGCTCAAACCATTACCAGCAAAGAAAAATCTCAATCCAGTGATGGATCTATTTCAAGGAAACTGTCACCAGAAACCCAACCACTCCTCCCCAGGAGACCTGTCATCAGCTTTACAGGTCAATGTCAGTATCAGCGCTCAGACACATTCAGCTCACCAGAGCCAACCAATGGAAAGTGAAGAGTAGAGGCCATCAGGGGAGTGTCCAGTGACAATATAAAACAAGTGAAAAATCAGCCCCCAAACAGCACCCATTTAGCAAAAACAAAGTAGAAGAGGTGGCCAAAGGAGACTAAAATAGACAGCCCCAGAGATTTCCTGCCACCAACAAAGATATGTAACTAGAAAAGGATTGGAAGCAAGAACATCAAAGTATTCAGAAATTATATTCTAAGTGGGGAACTTTGGGGTGGTGACCATTTTCTTCTACTACTCTGTATTTTTCGGGGAGGCAAAAGAATCAACCACCGAACAATAGAAACAAAAGGCTTCACAGAACCTTCCAACATGAAACTCAAAGGAATGCTAGCTTTTTTTTTCTTTTTCTTTTTTTGAAACAGGGTTTCTCAGCATAGTTCCGCCTGTCCTGAAACTTGTTCTGTAGGCAAGGTTGGCCTTGAACTCAGAGAGATCTGCCTGCCTCTGCCTGGAGTGCTGGGACTGCTGTTGAATGATCCTCTTGTACAATATAAAGATTTGTCACTTGAATTGGTATAATAAAATGCTGATTGGCCAGCACTCAGGCAGGAAGTACAGGCAGGGCAAACAAACATAGGATGATGGGAAGGAGAAGGCCAGAGTCAGGAGTCAGCAGCCAGATGCAGAAGGAGCAAGAGATGAAGGTGCTGTGCTAATAAAGGTATTTCCACATGGCAGAGTGTAAGTAAGGGATATGAGTTAACTTAAAATGTAAGAGTTAGCTAGTAACAATTCTGAGCTATAGGTCGAACATTTATAAGTAATATTAAGCCTCCAAGTTTGGGAAGCAGCTGCCAGGTATTTGGAAACCGGTAGTTGGGAAAGAAGCTTCTGATTAGAGGGACTAAAGGCATGTACCACCACTAACTTTATAGCACATGACAAAGCATTTGGGAAAAAAAGCTTAAAGGAGGAAAGATGGTTCTGGAGAGATGGCTCTCCAGCTAAGAGCACTGGCTGTTC